CTCTCTCTCTCTCTCTCTCTCTCTCTCTCTCTCTCTCTCTCTCTCTCTCTCTTTCTCGCTGTTGTTTGTCTCTCTTCCTGCCGGCACACGTTTGTGAGGCCCCCTAGCTGTATTTGTTGCCATGTGGCATGGCGCCCTCTAGCTACTACCTCCCCCATCTCGTTGCGCCCCCTGGCGCTGCCTGCCTGTCTGCAGCTTGCGTCTTTTTTGTCGCCCGGCTTCCTTTCAAACCCACTTAAACCTGCAGGTGTTTTTGAGTGTTTAGCATGCCTTTCTTTTCTTTTCTTTTTGTTCCCTCTGCTTTCAATAAATGCGTGTTTATTGAAGTTCGCGTCTTTTAATGCCTAGCAGCCGATATTGTCGAGCTCCAAGGTTACTTGAATGTCAAGGTTACGATATTTTCTTCACTCGCCACGCTTATCGCGAAAGCTGGCGCGAAAAGCCGAGCAGTTTTAATTGAAAACTTTGCCCTGCGGAAGCCGGGGAAACAAAGCTTTTTTTGCCGTTAGGATATTTCCTGCGGTGTGTGTCGAGCTGTCTGCGTCTACTAAATGTTTGGGTAATCACTTTTTTAATTTTCTTTTTCGCTACCAGGCAATTCCAAGGACACACGGACGGGGCCAGCTGTATAGACATCTCGCCAGATGGCACAAAGTTGTGGACTGGTGGCCTGGATAACACAGTGCGATCATGGGACCTACGAGAGGTACACAGAGTTGTCACGATTGGGCAGTAACACCAAAGATGCTATTATTATTATTATTAATATTATTATCATTATTATTATTAGTAAGGATGTTTTACTTATTGCAGCAGCTATTTCGTTACATATTTATATACGTCATTATTGCATAAGCTATTTATTTTTCATATTTACACGTATTTTAACTTTCACTGTATCTATCGTTAGAGATCGTGATGCAGTTAGTCTTCGAACACAAACTTTTTTTCATGAACGATAGTCAACGACCGTGTGCGCAGTAATAGATTTGTCGTTGTTGTTGTTGTTTACAATCTGGGCTTGTCGTTAATGACCACGCCACGTGCGCGGTTGATAAATTTGTTGTTGTTGTTGTTATTTACAATCTTGATGTGTTGTTTTGTTTGTAGGGTCGGCAGCTGCAGCAGCACGACTTCACGTCTCAGATCTTCTCGCTCGGCTACTGCCCCACGGGCGAATGGTTGGCCGTCGGGTGGGTACCTCGTCCACGCTCTGGTCACGCGGCAATGCTTCACAGGGGTGTCGCGGTTTGCCCAATTTACCGTAGCAGACGACTGTAGCTGAGAGTAAATCGCTGATCTCTCTCTCATTCACGCACGTATTTCACAGCAGTGCTTTACATGGGGGTCGCGTTTTGCCCAATTTACCGTAGCAGACCAGTATAGCAGAAAGTAAATCGCTTATCTCTCTCTCATTTATGCATGTATCACATGGCAATGCTTACTGCAATCACTGCCCTTCCCGCACAAAAATCGATTCCCGAATTTTGCGACGTCTTCGAGCCTGCCATTCGAAACACCAGCTGAAGACGTACCTCGAGGCAAACATTGCTTTCTGTAACTAACCCACGCGAGCCGTAACAGTACGTTCTCACTAACGCGCGCGTCCTCTGCGCGTCTTCAAGCCTGCCATGTGATGCACCATCCGAAGACGTACCTCTAAGCAAACATCGCTCTATAACTACGTACGTTCTCAGTCCTCGAAGCAAACATAGCTCTCGCAAAAAGTCTCTCTTAGTCTCTCTCAAGCAAACAAGCTCTACATACGTTCTCGCTAACTCGCTCCCCTGTCTTCTATCTCGCAGCATGGAGAGTAGCAACGTGGAGGTGCTGCACCACACGAAGCCGGACAAGTACCAGCTGCACCTGCACGAGTCGTGCGTGCTCTCGCTCAAGTTCGCCTACTGCGGCAAGTGGTTCGTCTCGACGGGCAAGGACAACCTGTTGAACGCCTGGAGGACTCCCTATGGTGCTAGCATTTTCCAGGTGAGACAGAGATCGATCTCCTCGAGTCTGAGGAGGGCTGCATCGTCGGCGCTGCGTTATAGCGTCGATGCAACGTTAGCAGAACGCAGAGAACGTACTCGACAGTGTTGTAGGTCACCTTTGAAGAACGTTCACCTGTGTACTGGGGGGGGAGTAAAGCGTGGGTACTGATGTACTGCTGAGCTGGGTTATGTGACATCGGCAACGCATCGAGGCTAATGCAGCGTAATCCCCCCCAGCGAAGCGAGTAGGTACGAAGTTGATTACGGAGGATTTAAAGTGTAAGCTTAAGTAGATTAATTCGACAAAGGAAGACGGAGGTGAGCGAGAATGACCGAACGTGCCGCGGGGAAAGCAAAGATGCTTAAAATGGCGGGTTTTTCTGTCGGGAGTAATTCTTGGGTCGCGCCGTCCAGTCTGACGAGGATTTTCTGCTCAGAATCGTTTGTGACTCGTGACGTGTGATAAATGCAAAGCTGAACAGTAGCGGCATTGTCTGGATAGCTAGTGCATGTCGTGGCATTTTATCGTTATCATAACTTTGAGGATTCAAATAACTTCCTTGTTTTATTCACATTGGTGCTTTCACACTTGCTATATGCAAAAGAAGTGAATGTTTACGGATCATGAATAATTGAGCTAAGGTGTGATTTTTATGAATATTTTGAGGGATTTTGCCAACAACCAAGGCCAATAACCTGTTTCAATTCGCCGGTATGCAGATGACTGCAGGGGAAAGAAGCATTTCGTGTGCGTCAGTGCGCAGTGTGTTTGCCTGCAGTTGCTAGCAGACTTTTTTAACCTACCATCTTTCTTAAAACATCCTATAATATATACTACTTATGTACAGCGGTATTTCTTGTTGGTTGCTGCGTGTTGTGTGTGCTTGCAGTAAGCTCCAGCTTTGCAGACTTTCTTAACGTACCATATATTACATCCCATAATATATTCTACATGATTTACTATGCGTTAATGGTACATATCCAGCATTGCAGACTTTCTTAACGTACCATGTAACATCCCATAATCTATTCTACATGATCTACTATGTACTATGCGCAACGCGCGGTGTGATTGCTTGTAGTATAACTCTAGATTATATAGTATATCATTATATGTATATGTTTCACGTACGCGTGCGTTAACGCGAGGTGTGTTTGCTTGCAGTAGCTCCAGCGCTGCGCACCCCGATGTCGATGGCTAGCCCCTACCCGCCCTACCTTCCCGCGAGCGCGTCGCACGCCATGCCCAACGACCTGGCGTCGGCCGGCGCCGCATACGCCAGCAGCATGATCCACAACAACATCTCCCCCGGAGCGTACCGATCGCCGATGGGCATCCCCGGCGGCTTCGACCCGCACGCCGCCCACACGAGGGCGCCACTGCCCCTCGGCGGCATCTCGGGAGGAAAACCGTGAGTGCGCGCGCGCGCGTCGTTCGTGTTCATTTTTTTGGCGTTGGGGGGGGGGGGGCTTGTGTTTAATGGTAATAGTGATGTCCATGAATGGGGCTGCGATGTAGAGGCATGATAATAATTAGTATTAATATCAGTAATAATAATAATAATAATAATAATAATAATAATAATAATAATAATAATAATAATAATAATAATAAATTCTAATAATAAACCTGCAGGAATGATGAATGATAATTATAACTTCGACGCATTAATTTTAATTGTAACGTAAATTTAATTAAGATTAATAATTAATTTTCCAGTCAAAAGAGTCGTCGTCCGTGCTGAGCTGCGACATCTCCGCCGACGACAAGTACATCGTCACCGGCTCCGGCGACAAGAAGGCGACAGTCTACGAAGTCATCTACTGAGGTCGCCGCGCGAGCGAGCGAGCGAGCGAGTCCCGCCGCCGACGACGACGACCGGTCGCGCTTTTACCCGGCCGCCGTCCAGAACTGTCCACCGGACGGCTCTCGCGGCGAAGGACGACGATCGTCGAAGACGATCGAGCGGCCGGCGGATGATCGAGCGGCCGGCGGATGATCAAGCGTTAACTTTAGTCGCGGCGGAGATCTAGCTCCACGTTTTGTCGCCGCAACGCTGACCCCTCGCCCTCGCGGACATTTGAGATGAGGGCGGTCGCACGATGGAAAATCAAACATTAACTTTGGCCACGGCGGACGGTCAAGCATTAACTTTGGCCACGGCGGACGGTCAAGCGTTAACTTTAGCCGCGGCGGACGGTCAAGCGTTAACTTTAGCCGCGGCGGACGGTCAAGCGTTACCTTTGGCCGCGGCGGAGATCGACTCTCGGTCTCTCGTCGGGCTTGGACCCCTCGCACTCGTGGACATTTGCGACGAGGGGTGGTCCGTCGTCGGATGCGTGAGCGTTGGACCGTCGAGAGAGAGAGAGAGAGAGAGAGAGAGACGGACGGAGAGACGGACGGAGAGACGTCGCCGGATGTGAGGAGACGGCGCGTCGGAGATATGTGCGTTTAGTGGGGGAAGGAATGGAAGGAGAAGAAGAAGAAGAAGAAGAAGAAGCCAGAGCTGTAAGATGTGTCGGGATGGAAGTGTAAAAAGAAGAAGAAGCCTAAGCTGAGGATGTGTCGGGATGGAAGAGAAGGAAGAAGAAGAAGAAGCCAGAGCTGTAGGACAGCGTCGTGACCGGGCACCTAGTCGGTGGCGTGCTGCGGCCGCGCGGTAGAGAGCCGAAAGACGCACGAGTTCTGGCCGAAGATAGTTACTGTTTCCGTGTTTATGTGTGAAATTCGGCGAGGATGCCTTGTGTTTATTTTTGTCGGTTTCTTCGGCGAGCGACGGGACTGGCAACGACTGTTTTGGTGAGGCGAGAGGAGAGTGAAGCCATTTACATCACTAGCGTGCACGATTTCTTTCTGTCTCTCTCTCTCCTTCTTTCTTTCTCTTTCTCGCTCTCCCTCCATCTCTCTCTCTCCCATCTGAAACGCCCTATCAGCTGAGTAGCGTTTAGGGTGCAGAGAGAATGGAGACCCCGGAGCGGGGGGGGGTCTCTGATCTTGTCCCGCGTCTAGTTTCTTACTGGGTTGTAAGCGATTGCGGTGACTGTTACTGGAGACGCACCGGGACAAAGAAATAACAGCGCAATCCGCAGTGCACAGGGGAGGGATGGCGTCTCTCTCATCGCGGCGCGCTCTCTCTCCGTCGGATGTTGCACCACTTCCTTCCTCTCCTCGTCGCTTTTGTCGCTCGTTAAGAAGAAGCCAGGGCAAAACGCAAACTCCCGAGGGGGAAAACAACGTTTGCGTGCAACGCCCCCTGCCGGGCACTTCTTGTGACGGATGTAAGTAATCGGGTCTGGCGCATCCCCGACCAACCATCTGCTTTAGAGTCGATCTCCGAGATGGTGTTTTTGTAAAGCCGCATCAGAGGGGGGCGGCGGAGACCGTAAGAAGTAGACAACCCGTCGCGAACATTTTTCAGACATTCCATTGTGATCATTCACAGCACAGTTTTTCGCGCGCAGCGACGATGCCGCCGCTCCTGCCGGCGGTCGTCGAGAGGTGCGACACCACGCGCGCACGCTCGCCATGATGACGGCGGCCATGACGGCCATCGCCACGACGACGGCAGCCATGACGGCCATCGCCACAACGACGGCAGCCATGACGGCGATCGCCATGACGACAGCGGCCATGACGGCCATCGCCACGACGACGGCGGCCATCGCCACGACGACAGCGATCGCCACAATGACGGCGGCCATGACGGCCATCGCCACGACGACGGCGGCCATGACGGTCATCGCCATGACGGTGATTGCCACGCTGGCGGTGGCCATGACGGCGATTGCCACAATGGCGACGGCCCTGCCGCGTACGTTTGTCAGCCGACTGACTCGCGAGCGACGTGCAGACGTCGCTTGTCGTCTCTCCGCGCTCGTAACTGGTTCCCCGCGCGACGAGGCGGCGAGCCGTCGTCGCCCTTCGGTTTGTTTCTCTCTCCAGTTTACACACACAGGACCAGCGTTTGTAAGTCACGTTTTGGAGAAGCATCTGTACATAAGTCATTTTTCGTGGTAGCCTCGTAATAAGAAGTGTTAACACACAGATTTTTATTTTGTTTAATATTGCAGTACACCGTGTATTGTAGTCGGCACTGGACCACAGTGCAAACTTACCCTGCACACGTAACATGCTGTCGCCGCAAGCTGTCGCTTGTTTGTAGAGGTCGCACTAGTGTCGGGGGCACGATATAGCATTCAGGGATGAAAATAGCTAGGGTTCGCGTTGCAGTCGGCGACCATAAACTTAACGTGGTTGGCTAGGGCTCGCGAGTGCAAAACCTTGGCGAATCGGACGTTCCTCGTTGAACACAGCCCGCATTGTATTGGTCAAAGTATATCGGTTCCACAGCATGTGTAGATTAAGGCTATGTCATTCCTTCACCTATTATAGAGGAATGATGGCGAGTGAGCGAACTGTTTATTCGGTTGTAAAGTACTCGCAGAGCCATTGCCTACAGTCATGCGCTCGCAACTATTCGACACAAATTTTGAATTAGATTCAAGTTATTTTTTTGAAGGAAACGTCTCCCGATTACTAAAACCATGTGGTGCAAGGGTACTATGTCCTCTTGCCGATTTGTCATTGACGTGTTGACCAGTGTATTCCTTGCCTGTTCCTTTGTTTCATGATCCAGATCAGATTGCATTGCTTCAGTCACATCAGAGCACACATAGATAGCTAGATATTGTTTGTTTTTTTGTTTTTTTGAAGCATAATACAATAAAATTTGTTGTGAAAGACTATTGTAAAATACATGTATTGTTTCATCAGTGTATTTAAAATAAATTTACATGTTTTGTATAGTGTAAGAATCAAATGTCTGTTGATTTTCATGCATTATGCTCGGGTATTTGGGTGTTCAGCAGATTCCTACTGGCGACGATTGGCTTACTTACATTGGTCGATAACGCTTCAAACAAGATGAAAGCTAAGCTGCTAAACAAATCTGTTAAGGTAATATATTTTTAAATCACAAATTTTGCAGTAACAGTTCTATCACAGCATCTGGATTGTATCCGTATCAGCTGGAAAGGTTTCCTCATTCGCAGCATTCGTAACAAGCGGCAGTGCAGCTCTAAACGTGTGCTAACCATGTGCAGTGAGCAGTCTTGAAAATAAGTTTAACATCCCAGCCAGTCCTGACTTGCAAAACTTTGATTCATTCTATATAGGCTATGTAGTAAAATCCATAAAAATGAGCTAGCAGTCACGGACTGGGGGGATGGGGCCTGCTATATCCAACACTGGCGTTGGCTTGAACGCTGTCAGTAAAACAAGCTACACTACACTACTCTACACTGCTCTTTAAATGCATCTCATTTTAAAAGTATTTCAATCCATGTAACAACCATCTCTCAACAATCATGTTAACAATAACAACACAACTACGTAAAAATATAGATAAAACAAACGAGTTAGTCCCATCAGTGACCACATGATTGTGACAACGCGATTTTGCGCACAACGCATCGTTGCAGCGGCCATTTCAAGTATCGAATAAGCAATTCTGCATTGGTTACGATAAACGGCAGGAATGGCCGAATTACCCCATCCAGCCTGGTCGGTCAATAAAGAGAGGTAGATTCCCTGCACTCAGCGACTCTACAGAGCAATATGATAAAGTTACGTGATATGAGTACGGCGTGCGCGTAATCTATTCGTAGATATATTTGTCTGTACACATTCTTATCAGCACTAGTGAGTGGATATAAGGATTCACGTGCGAGCCATGCAGATCTGGCTCGCAGGTTCTGGTCCGAGTAAACGGCCAGTCATCGCCGCAACGTGCCGATAATCACATTCACTTTCACGTTAGGATCCAGCGCAACCCACCGCTAAGGGCCATCGACTGAAAGACTTCGGCCTGAATCCCTCTCTCTCTATCTATCTCTATCAATGGTTTGGCTATTGCCACGCTCGGCACATAATATCGGTTCCTTGGCAATCGAAAAAGGCACAACTGATTCGGGGGACGAGGAATTAGCATGTGCGCCCGTCTCCCAGCATGCGAAGAGGACTCGTACAAATCACAATAACAAGGTCGAGCTCTGCAACAGAGGGGGCCCTACGACCAAGTCGCTTCATAGAAAACCACTAACGAACACGGTAAACAAATTCCCCGCTACGTCGGATTACGGAAGAAAAAAACTTGTTTCTTTCTGACATCGTTCCGGGAGCGAGCGGACGTCGTTCCGGCAGCGGGCGGACTTCGTTCCGGGAGCGAGCGGACGTCCCTGGAGCGAGCGGGCATCGTTCCGGGAGCGAGCGGACGTCGTTCCGGCAGCGGGCGGACT